GGGGCTGAATAATTTTGCACGCCCAATTTTTCAGTTTTTTATTTGTTAAAAAAGTTTGACATATCCAATAAATTTCGTTCCACTTCATGATTGTGTCCCACTTGTTGTTGATTCTTCACAAAAAAATTACAGTTTTATATCTTTATGTTTGAAGCCTGAAATGTGGCAAAAGGTCGCAAAGTTCAAGGGGGCCGAATACTTTCGCAAGGCACTGTATGTTTTGTGTTATACGTCTTAAGATGTCCACGCTGACAGTTCCCGTGCGGTGGATCTCTTTATGTTTTTCCCATTAGGTTAGCTAGATGTTCTTTTTGGTATCCACGCTGACAGTTCCTGTGCTGTGGATTTCCTTTTCCTTAGCTAATCCTCCTGGATAGTTTTTTTTTTTTTCACCTGTCCGTCATCATCCTCACTCTCCTGTTTTTTTCCGTTAGTCTGTATACTCCCCTGGTCATCCTGTTCTCCCTAGCCGTATTTGCTCAGCCCCGGTTGTATGTGTTCCTCGACTCTGTTCCTTTTTTCGTGTTTCCCACCATTAAAACCAACTGTTTTACTAGCACCTGGGTCAGCAATCTTGAGTCCTGCCTCAGTTCTCCCTCATCCTCCTGGTGAGGGGGACTAAGCCATAATACATTTTTTAAACCTTCTTTAGGCTTTTATGAGGAGTCAAGGCAAGCCGCCACTTAGTGCAGTAAGTAAAGGGCTAAAGGTTTATTTAGGTGTGTGAGAGAGAGGAGAGTGACAGATGGATGTTAGTAATAATTAAGATGTCTGTGTTTGGCAGGAGGTCTATCAGAGCCTGGTGAATGTCAGTGTTTATCTCCATGAACTCCAGGTAAGTTTCTTCACATCTTTAACAAACTTACGTTACTACAGCTTCAGTGCTCATCATGTGACACACACTGGATCAGAAAGCATTTTTCCTATAGACAATCAATGACTGTATTTGCATGCACTTAAAGTTATCAGGTTATAATCGTGTTTCTTGAGTAAGCTGATTTCTTAACTGTCATGTAAACTGGAAACCTGGTTTCCATAATCAGAGAAAATCCTGATCTCCTCAGGAAGATTTCTCCCGGCAAACACAGATTTCTCTGCGTATACACATAACCAAGTTTCTAATCAGCTTTATACAAGAGCACGTATGCAAAAGACAAACTCCAAGGTCATTTGTGTACACATGACTGGAGGAAAACAGGAAGTTGTCACGAAACAACACAGGCGGAACAACAAACGGGCAAATATTGTGGACAAATTGTAAATTGAAGGACAGCTCTATCGCGAATCGAACATTACCCCGTGGCTTTTTTGATCTTCTACAGACTACCCACCAACTAGTGACTGCTACATTATATGTTAAATAATTCACCCCCCTTTCATCACCCTGGTCTCTCACATCCATACACAGAGCAACCCCTATCCCACACGGACTGCTACAATTATCTCTTCTTTCTCTGTTATTCTGTTTGTGTTTTTGTTTTAATCACACCATGTTGATTGAAATGTATACTTGTCTATGGTTTTTTGTACTGCTATGCTCACACTCTAACACACATACATATATAGACACACGCATCAACCCTAGATCCCGTTAAACAGCTTTTTTTGTTTTTGTTTTATTTTGTTGTTGTTTTTTGTGTTCATTTATTTATTTTTTATTTTTTCCCCCCTTCTCCCTCCCTCCCACGTCTTCCCTCCTTTCATCTTATGAACAGATATCTATAACAAACAATCATTCAGTCACTTAAAATACTGTCATGGAATGTGCGTGGATTCATTGGCTACTATTAACAAATGCTATCCAGACATTACCAAATGGAGCCTGACCACCTGCCTTTACCTGAGGAGTCATTCCTTGAAAGGAATGGTTTGATGAAGTGAGTGAATACTGCTTCCCGTCTTGCCCTGTCCATGAGTGGCGTTTGGCTGCTGAATGCCTGGATGCTAAAATGTTAGAGACAGCTTTTAACATCTCAACAGCTAGGAATATGCAGGTGCCTCTACAGTCCTGTTTCCAGTGGAGCAAAATATCACGTATTTGCTTACACAATCTGGTACGTTTGGCAGCTGAAGTTCTTGGAGCTAAGGCAGAGCAGAAAGTTGGGCGACGGAGAGGCCAAAAACGGACGAAGTGTCTGGAACCAGCTGCTGACAAAGGTATCATTCTGCAGCTGTGTCTGGGCGAAGCTGGGAATTCTCACCTCTCCAAGAGCCTCGAGAGCTTGTGACAAGGATGGGTTGCTGTTGTTGGGGGCCTGGAGTGGGAAAAAGCCAATTTGGTTTTACACGGCATTCGCACAGGAAAACGCCAATTTTGTAAAATCGGGTGATTGGATTTACCATGGTGGCGAATGACACTAGAGCCTGGTTTACTGCAGTAGAAGCTTTTTGGAAGAAAAGCTTCCAGACCTCTACTGGGTATATCTGTTGGCGTTCCACTGAGCATATCAGCAGCGTCACCAAGTTGCTGGCTGTGAGATTTGTAGCCTTGGGAAAGAAAATTGGACATCAAATAAAAATTCTCAGAGCCTATGGAGGTCTGTCTCAGGATGGTAATGTAGCAAGAGCCAAATTGTTCTCTGGAATTCAGATTTGATATAAAGCAGCCTTACCGAAGAACATGCATACTGAGTGATGGAAAAATTGCACAGGGCTTCAGAGGGAATGTCCATCGACAGGGTCTGTTGGAGTTGTGAACTGAGGAAAACAATAAAATCTCTTGTCACCTTAAGTAGACTGTGTAAAAGAACTTTATCGATACAATCTCCGCACCAGACAAAACAGTAAATCCCTTACCTATTGACTTCTGCACAGATGAGGTTCTCTGTGAAAAGACAGTATTCGTGCATCAGACATGGTACCTTCAGAATGCAATGTTGTCCTCAAAGTTGCAGTGTCTGGTATTTTATAGACTTACCGTCAACCGGTGTCTCCTTGCACTGGAGATGAGAAAGGCATGATTATTAGTCTAGTGGCAAAGTCTACTTGAAGTTAAAATACCTTAAAGTGGCCTCCTTAATAACATCAATGGGTCAAACTTGGCTCTTGTTACTTTTGATGAAGTATTTTATATGTAATTCATCCATACACTGTAACTTACCTGGATTGGAGATGGGCAACCTGTTTGAGAGTCAAATGAAACAAAGTGATAGCATTAAACCAAACAAAGACCCAATCCACCCTTCAGCTACCATCCCTTATCACTTATTAATTCAGACTTAAAAATCATTACCAAAGCCCTAGCAACTAGAATAGAGACAGTCACCCCAATACTAATCCACTCAGACCAAACAGGTTTCATTAAAAACAGGAATGCTTCAGACATCCGTAGATTATTTAATTTAATTATTCTTGCACAACAAAAACAAACCAAAACCATAGTTTTATCACTAGATGCAGAGAAAGCATTTGACAAAGTTAACTGGGCATTCCTCTTCTGTACATTACGCAGATTTGGGTTTTGAGAGTCATTCATCCATTGGATAAGAACACTGTACACATCACCTAGGGCGACAATAAGTACAAACGGGATCAGTTCACAAAGTTTCATTTTACAGCAAGGTACCAGACAAGGATGCTCACTCTCACAATTTCTATTCGCCATTTTCATCGAACCTCTCGCAGCAGCTATACGACAGAACAATATAATTAAAGGAATACAAGATACTTACTCAGAACACAAAATTAGTCTTTACGCAGATGATTTATTATTATATTTACAGGATCCCTATAATTCTCTACAGGAAACTTTACATATTATTAACACATTTTTTAAGATCTCAAACTACACAATAAACTGGAATAAATCCACCATACTGCCACTCTCTGAGGATGCCTGGGATTCTGCAGCTCAAGACTCCTCCCCCCAATTCTGCACAGGCAACATTAAATATCTT